TGGTTAGACTGTACATACAGTACAATTTAAGCTCAGCCTAGGGGGTTCAGATTATTGTGGTTAGACTGTACATACAGTACAATTTAAGCTCAGCCTAGGGGGTTCAGATTATTGTGGTTAGACTGTACATACAGTACAATTTTAGCTCAGCCTAGGGGGTTCAGATTATTGTGGTTAGACTGTACATACAGTACAATTTAAGCTCAGCCTAGGGGGTTCAGATTATTGTGGTTAGACTGTACATACAGTACAATTTAAGCTCAGCCTAGGGGGTTCAGATTATTGAGGTTAGACTGTACATACAGTACAATTTAAGCTCAGCCTAGGGGGTTCAGATTATTGTGGTTAGACTGTACATACAGTACAATTTTAGCTCAGCCTAGGGGGTTCAGATTATTGTGGTTAGACTATACATACAGTACAATTTAAGCTCAGCCTAGGGAGTTCAGATTATTTAAGTTAGTCTGCACACTTGGCTGTGACAACATTCAATGAATTAGATTCAGCTTTTGGTGTCAACGGGATTTAGTGAAAACCACTACAGAACAATCCTGCATAATGACAACTACACTCACAGGTATGTTTGTTTAGGATTATAAAAATACACTGCAATAACAGTGTGTGTAAAAGCATAGAAGTACTTGATGTAAATAAATCTGCAATCTTTGGAAACACTGAAATGAGCAAATACAATTAAAATAAATTTATGTAAATGGAAAGAATATATTGTAATCTCTATAGCAACTACAACCATAGATAGACTGTAATTGACTGCAGACATTAGTTTCTAATATTAGAGGTCATTTCAGTGTTAACATTGCTTCAGCACATATTTGGCACTTGCTGCAAAACACTTTACAAAATTTCACTTCCTGAAAACACATTTTTACGACAAACTTTGTATAATAATCAACCTACGTACTAAATACACAGAGCTCAGTGATTCTGAAAAGCTCCACAATTCGTATGAATCCAATATATGTCTGTAACTACTTTGAAAAGAAATGGTGCACCTTGTAAAAATGGAAATTAGTTTTCTCCCATTCTTGAAAAATTGTCTGTGTGTATGCCAATTAGTAAGCCACCACAATTTATACAAGGATTCATGGAAATGCCACATTTAGAACAAAGGATTCTTGTAAATGACTCATGTAAAATTCCCCAGATACCACTTTGTCATTCCAACATTAATGCAAAACACAATCCTCTGATCACCTGTAAGGTGTCAAAGTCTACACAGTCTTATGTTCATCACCTGCTTTGTGAGTGAATTCATAATCTATGTGCACAAATGCTCTTTCTATATCCTTAAGCCTTTCAAGTTTCCTCTGTAAAGGCTCTCCAATATTGTGGGCTTCTTTCAGGGTCATATTCTCAGGCAGAACAATGTCAACCTACAAACAAACAAACAAACAAATTATGTAAAAATATGTCAGTTTTATTGACATATTGCAGAGTACAACCCTATATATGGAATAATATAAGGCATGTACTGTAGTTCACTGTATGTACTGGAATTGTTCCAATTCTAAAAATAAAATTCATATTTAAACTACTGATATTCAAATCAGGTGAAAAAACAACATAATTTTGTCTATTGTTGTTTATTTTAGTGTTTATGTGTTAACAACATATGTAGATTTGAAAAACTTTATCGTACAATATTAAGAATACAAATGTAGCACTGGGTTCCTGGTCACAGTGCACTGGTGCAGCGCTTGGCTTCCTGGTGACTACTTGTGTAACACTGCGTTACCTGGTCACAGTATACTGGTGTAGCACTATCTTCTGGTCACAGTGTACTGGTGTGGCACTAGATCTTCTGGTCACAGTGTACTGGTGTGGCACTAGATCTTCTGGTCACAGTGTAACTGGTGCAGCACTCGATCTTCTGGTCACAGTGTAACTGGTGCAGCACTAGATCTTCTGGTCACAGTGTAACTGGTGCAGCACTAGATCTTCTGGTCACAGTGTAACTGGTGCAGCACTCGATCTTCTGGTCACAGTGTACTGGTGTAGCACTCTATCTTCTGGTCACAGTGTAACTGGTGTAG